ATTGTACGTTAATTTATGCCTGCTTAGTATGACCGCAACTTCCTGCTGGTTGATTGTACATTTGTGTTTTGTGTGTGTACGTGTGTACGTTTATTGGTGTGTACGTATTTGTGTGTATGTATGTGTGAGTGTCTTTTCTTCTCTCTCTATTTTGTTCTGTCACTTTTCTACTATTTTGGCTCTTTTTCAGCGTGTGCTTAGTGCGTTTCTCTATGTGTTGGTATATTAGTTGTGTTTGTTTGTATCATATCATTATCTCTATTTAATTCTATCTCTCTATCTTTATTTCACTTTCTCTCTCTCTCTCTCTCTCTCTTTCTCTCTCTCTCTCTCTCTCTATCACTCTCTCTTTCGTCCTATTTTTTATTTTATTTGTGTGTCACATGTGTGTTTTTTCATAGATTTCAATAAAGTAGTAATAAGAGATTTTTTTTCATTTTCTATTTGGTTATCGTTACATGGTTTCGGAAGGTTTTGTTAGTTCAGCCATATATTTGAACATTTATTTCAACATTTGTTTGTTAGCTCATTTTTTATCCATCCATTCATTCATTCATTCATTCATTCATTCATTCATTCATTCATTCATTCATTCATTCATTCATTCATTCATTCATTCATTCATTCATTCATTCATTCATTCATTCATTCATTCATTCATTCATTCATTATTTATTCATTCATTCATTCTTTTGTTCGTTCATTCATTCATTCATACTTCCACTCATATATATGATTCATCCATTAATTCATTCGTCCATTTATCCATCCATTCACTCATCTATTCATTTATCCATCCATCCATTCATCCATTCATTCATCCATTAATTCATCCGTCCATTTATCTATCCATTCATTCATTTATCCATTCATCCATCCATTCATTCATCAATTCATCAATTCATTAATTCATTTTGCCCAAACTTCTAGTATGATTTCAAGACGAGGTCTGTGAAGAAGAGGTTGGTGGAAATAATGGTGTCACTGGACGGAGTCTTTGTCAATTCACTCCAAAAGCAGAAACTGGTGAGCTTTTTTAGGAAAATATAAAAATATTTTTTTTATTAAAAACATAAAAACATTTATTAATTTTTAATTAAATTATTTTAATTTGCTTTAATTTTTTTAAATAATTCATAAACATTGAGTTCTATTTTTCTCAAATTCTTCCTACAACTAAATATTATTATTTCTCTTATTTTTATTCTCCTTGAATGGAGGCAGAGATGCCCTGTCGGGTTAATTTCTGACAATGTTTCAGCTGTCCATAAATCAAGTTCATACATACATACATACATACATACATACATACATACATACATACATACATACATACATACATACATACATACATACATACATACATACATACATACATACATACATACATACATACATACATGTCAGATCTTTCCTCTTCAGTTCTAAATTGATAAATGGCTTTTTTGCCGTTGTTAAGTACAAAGGGGGGGGGGGTGATAGTCTTTTCATTTACTGCTTGTCTTTATTCTTTTTATTAGAATTATTATTATAGCCTGTTAAAATATTATCATGATAATTATTATTATAATTATTATTATTATCATCGTTATCATTATCACCCGTATTAAAACACCCCATCCACACTTACAACAGCAACTGCAACTACAGTAGCCACAACAGCCACAGCGAAAGTAGCCGGAGCAGCTGCTTCATTAGTTAATTTATTCATTAGGCGCTTCTTGAAATATTCATTTGCGTCGTTAGCTTAGCAACCTCTTTGTGAGAGGAGAAGATAAAGTGGGGTGATCCATTCGTGTGGGCACACTGCTTTCAATTGAAGCTCTCACAACACACATCGCACCTCTGATGCTTTCATTTGCTTGTTCATTCATTTACCCACTTCTTCCTTCTTTCTTGTTTCAGTTACGTAGTTACATTCAGACAAATACGAACGACGGAACGAACAAACTGGACATGAATGAACAAACTTGAACAAACACACGCAAACAAACACAAACATAAACAAACATGTGAAAATTGACACATGCAAAAAAACAAACGTGAACAAACAAAAAAAACATGAACAAACAAACAAACAAACATCCATGGAATGAACCGATAAACACGAACAAACGAACGAACGAACACGTTCATTTATGAATTTCAGATAAAGCCACCATCGGCCAGCGTTAGTGCCAACCAACACCACACGAACGAAACCCTCTTGAAGAATCCTATACACAGGTTATTTGCCGGTCGTGATGATGATGACGATGATGATGACGATGATGACGATGATGATGACGCTGATGATGATTATGATAATGACGATGATGATGACGATGGTGATGATGATGACGGTCCATGCTGCTGAGATCAGCAGCAAAATGCACCAAAGCCAACACAGCTAGTTCTCTACATAGAAATGGAATGTCTAAACCACCTGAGCATTGATAATTTTAAGAACAATCTCCAATTCTCATACTTCGCCAAAACAATGTAGAAACAAATGGCTCAATCAACCAGTCAAAAAGAATTAACGAAACTAAAGGAGCCGAATTGTACCAGTGTTTTCAGCACTAAAGTATCTCAATTATGCAAATTGATTCTGTGTTTACTCCTTTTTCTCTTTCTTCATGAGTCTTAGTTAAGTTAATACATACTTTCTTACATATATACATACATACGTACATACATACATACATAAACACATACATATATACACACATACATATATACACACATACATACACACATGACAAAACTAAACATTGATTCGGTGGAAATTGATGACGTCAAGATTGGGTTCTGTGACAAAGTAACTAGTTTGGGTTGTTTACTGGATACCAGATTATTGATGCAGGATCATATAAAAACGATAGTGAGAGCATGTTCCTTTCAGATTAGAGAGTTATACAAAGTACGTAATTCTTTAAATAAATCGGCTATTCAGACGTTGGTGCATGCACTTGTTCTTTCAAAACTAGATTACTGCAATAGCCTTTTTTACGGGTTACCTGATAAACATGTTTCTACTCTTCAGTCCATACAGAACAGAGCGGCCAAGTTGATTGTCGGTGGTCTCAAATACAATCATGTAACTCCTATTTTGGAAAGTCTTCATTGGCTCACTGTTAAAAAAAGAATTACATACAAAATAGGCCTAATAATGTATAAAGCGTTACATGGTCTGTTACCAGGTTATCTGATCAATAAAATAGAAGAAAAATCCGTAATGATGAGTGGCATGAAGCTGAGGTCAGATGATAATATTTTGCTGGTTGTCCCGGATATCAATTTACAGATCGCGTCAAGAAATCTGGCTGTTTCAGGACCGGCTGTTTGGAACAGTTTGCCAAGATTTTTGAAATCTAAAGACTTGAAGCTGGA